GTAACAAGATCTTCTTCATCCTTGGCTTACAACCGACTTTCGGTTAAATCAACTCTTTCATAGAGTTTTAAACTCGTTCAGAGTTCTCCACAACGTCAAATCGTGAGGAGAAGATCATGTTCCAGTAAAACAAGACGTCGGATCGTCAACGAGAAGCAAACTCGACGCGAGCATTCGAGGGAGGCATCTCATCGCCACCGTGAAGAACCCAGATTTAAACAAAGGGGAGAATCCAGATCATTCTCCTCTCTTTTGTAATCAGGAAATCCAATTGTAACTGAGATTAAAGGAATACAAATTAATTTTCCTTCGTTTCTTTTACTGCAAATTTTCCACCAAACAGCGGCCATTTGGGTGAACTACGTTCGGCTTGATTCCTTGGGCAAGAGGATACGTAGGCAGTCTTTATGATGCAGCCGGGTTGGATTATTTGATGGGGGTGAGATCGGTTTGGTGAGTTGATACCGACATTTGGAGAGTGTTCGCATTCTCATTTGGACTCTCGACTTGTTATGGATTGAGTCCGTTGTCGTGAATTGTTTCACTTCATACTGGACACAACAAGTGAGACATTTGTTTTGGTTGGTGTCGGCTCAGTTTTGAGAAAACTTCACCGAGGTGGAGAATTGTGAACACGTGAAATGACGTGGGGGCCACTAGAGGAAAGGACGTAGGGGCCACTAGAGGAAAGCCACGTGAAGATTCATATGTGAAGCGATTTGGCTGAAGGTTGAAGGCCCACCCAATTTCAAGCGTGAATGTTTCAGCAGCTATATATAGCTAGAAAAAACAAAACCTAGGGTGGCGTGCTATTGAGGGGTGTAAGTTTGGCTTTCTTTTTGCGGCTGCAAATTTGGGAGCGGCTGCAGCAGTGCGAGAAGAAAAGGCAGAAGGGAGAAAAGGAACTGCAGGCGGCTGTTTGGTGTTCGTGCACGGAGCAGGTGCAGTCTGTTTTTCTTTCTTGGGCAGCGTGCAGAGCCGATTTGAGAGAGGTTTTTGTTGTGCATCCCCTTTGAGAGATTATTTGTGTGAGGGATTTGAGAGTTTGTGTGAGGGTTTAGATTGAGTGATTGTAAACCCCAGTTGTATCTCTTCCTCTAATAGTAGATCTCCCCCTCCTTGCCCCGTGGACGTAGGCAGTTTGCCGAACCACGTAAAATTGGTTGTTTGAGTTTGTGGCCATTGTAATAGTTTTTAGGATCCCTCGACGCGCAGTCCTAGAGCTGACGAGAGGAAGAGCAAATATCCCACTTTGATGGGATATTAGGCTTTCAGATTCTTGTTCCCTTTGAGAAACAAGAATTCTTATCGATCTTTCTCTCTTATTGTGCACCAGAAACTCTGCCGAAATTTCCGCTGCGCACAACAAGGAATCCCAATGCACCACCGCTGCCCAGATCTCCAACCAACTCAGATCCAAGTGAGCCCTTAACTCCTTATCGACCCCTGCATCAAAAACCGATGGGCCCAGTTTATCTCCATTGCCGATGGAGATCTCATGCTCTCTTGCTCCTACCGTTATGGAATCCACCGTTGGGAGAGGGGAGAGTGGTGATGCAGGAGGCTGTCTCAATGGAGAGACGAGCTGTGCCATTACCGATCATCTAAATGAGGGTTGGAGCGGAGGAAAGACATTGAATTGTCTAAGGCTTTTTATTTTAAGGGAGGAGGGGCATTTTGGGGTTTTTTTTAACTAAAGTATACTCTTGGGGACGCATGTGAGCTGGAGGGGTTTGATTGCTTGCAAAATTTAATTTTGAGGATTTTTGAGGTGTTGATAAGGTCTTGAAGTTGGGACAAATAAAATTTGTTACTTTAAGAGCTAGAAGCAATTTTATCTATATCTTTCTAAAAGTTGATGAAAAAATAATAATATAAATATTCTGCATAAAAATTGCCGAAATATTATTACTGACGAGATAATAATATACTATAATTCTGTATTCGTAACATGCGTATTAAATGACGCGTACAGTGCTCGCTTTTCTATTCATCCCGTCAAAGCGTTGACAAAGTTATGTGATGACGTGGCAGATCGTGCGGTGGGCAGCAGTTTGTCGGTTGGACCTTTTGAGCCTGAGCAAAAGATCTCGCGTAGATGTCGACAAAACTCAAAGTAGCGAGTCGGATGAGGACGAAATTTGTTACATCCGATTCGAATAAATTCAAAACACTCTTAGACTTAAATTTAAATTTACTAAGCTTTTAGATTTGGATTAACATTTAGGATTGTACAATCTTGAATACCCATTAATTTGAAATATGTCAAATTCTATTAACAACCAAATAGAAAGTAGAATTTCTTTTTTTTTAAATTATTAATGTGATTTTTTAATAATTAATTAGGAAGTAAAACTGATTTGAATATTATATTATATAAATAAACACAATCACCTTAATCACTTGTTAGATACTTGGTCTGTGTTTATGTGTGCATCTAAATGTGTTTACTATTAGATAAACTTCGCCCTTGTTGCACTAATTCTTTTAGATTATAACCAACACCTCAAAACCACTAGTAAACACTATCTTGCTACAGTATAATTAGAATATTTAAAATTACTATTCATGATACATTAACATTTTCAGTCTTAAACCTACTGTCCTGTTGCACTAATTTTTTTTCACGTGATACTGTTCATGTTATAGTGTAATTTTTTAATCTTAAAAATATTCTATCTGCTACAATAATTTTTAGCTATTTATCCACTGTTCAAGTTGAATTAAATTTTTTTAACTTTAAAAAACTGTTCACCTCTCTCTCTCTGTCTCTCTTTGGTTCTTGCAAATGATGAATTAACCTTTTCAGACATTTCCCACATATAAATCTTTTCCGATTCTATTATAAAAAATTAATAAAAATCGCTAAATAGTTTGGAATATCACTCTATAAATAATAGTAAAAGAAATTACGCTCAAGTTTTTATAAATAGTTATATATCAAAGATATATTATTAATTTGGTGATAGATATATCTCGAGAAATAATACCCACAGCAAAGCAACGGCCTCAGTACTAGTAGATTTATATACACGCATGCAATAAATTTCTTGACACGTATAAGGATTCCCAAGTCAAGATATAAAACTTTGCATTCAGATTAGATTATGGGTTTAATACATCATAATATTTATCTCTAGTCCTTTAGCCATGTGGTTTTATGTCATTTGTACTTGGATCTTGTTCCCACCTCACGTGCGGGAACTCAAAGTGACACGTGTGAGGGTGGGAGACAGATAAGGATGTCGTCGCCATCAAAGGACCGGAGTTAAAGAGCAGTGTTTTTAAGGACCGCACGGAATTTGTATTTTAGGGGCTGTTTGGATAGTTTTTTTTGGGTGGTAAAAGAAGAAAAAAATATCAAAAATATCAGCTTTTTGACAGCTTTCCCCCAAAATCATCTTTTTAAGGGGTGATTTTGGGGGAAAGCTGCCAAAAAGCTAACATTTTTGGCAGCTTTCCCCATTTTTACCACAAAAAAAAAAAGAACCAAAGAGCCCCTTAGTGCGCACATGATCAACCTACCTTCCAATTTGAAAGTCAATCACAAAGTTTGAATAGGCTAAAAAAACATGTTTGGAAATTTTAGATTAGATTATACTCTGCCTGGATTGTAATCAACAAATGAATTTTAATCTAAATGGATTATAATCTAGTGTGCGTGGTAAATTTAACAGATTATAATTAGTTTTTTAATAATTAAATGTTTGGCCAATGAGTAGATTATAATCCATTGATGTTGTTAAAATAACCAAAAAAAATATGGAATTGAGAGCGAGTTATTAAATGAGCCTTGACTTTTCTGAAATTATAAGGGTATAATGATCTTTTACTTGGTTAAACATAATGGCTTATAATTCACCAAAAAACATAAGGTTGGATATTCTAATTTATTTTTTTTAGTAAATTATAAGCCAAAATAAGGTGCTTGCCAAACATTTTAAAGTGACTTACATAAGTCAATTTGCTAAACATGCACTAACTTGGGAATGGTTTAAATAAAGATTAATCTCTTATAAACTAAGCAAAATGTGAAAGTTACACAACAGTTAAGATAGATAGATACATCTAGAAAAACACATCTTTTTAATGCTAAAAAAGAATTCGAAACATTGGGCCTGACCTACAATGCGCGAAGATTAGGACACGTAATTGACAGAAAATTTTCTTTTAAGATAACTGCATGCGAGCGGGCAGTTTTGTGCCAGACAGTGAGCCGTGATAATTATTAAATTGCCCTCTTCATCCAACGGCAAAGAACCACTCACTTACGTACAGACGGTTCTGATAGAGATGCATTCACCCGTCGCGGACAGTCTGAACAGTTGGGAGGTTCTAATAAGGCTCTCACGCTTTTGGATTCGGTCCCCTACAGAGTTATAATAAACATAAATAAAAAAGATAGGATATGCGCTCGTCTAGCGCTAGTACTTTTTAAACAACGGACGAACACCAATAATCTCGCGCATGGCAGTACTTCAATGCAAGAGTTTTCACTCGTATTACACTTGAATTCGTAGAATATCTTGTAAACGTCATTATCCACCAATCTTAGCTAAACAAAAGCCAACAACAATATTGACGCTGACGACGTACTAAAACCCAGATTAACCAATAAACTAAAGTTTTAATGATAATAATAAACAAAAGCCAACAACACTGCTCCTTTTATCATCCACCCTGTAAAACTTGACCACGTCTACATACCATATCGTGTACGTTTACAGTATCCAATAAATTTGCTAAAAATATTGAATCTTTGGTGTTTATCATCTTGAATATACAAGCAAGCGATATCATAATTTGGCAATGCGGATCGATCGTGTGTATTCTAAATTTGCCAACCTGCTTTTATAACCAACATTATATTTTACGCTTACGTATTTCAGCCAATAAAATAACCAAAGTCTAACCTGTCACTATTCGGTGCACCAAACTGGTTACATATATGATATTATAGCACGTTATAAAAACATAATAATCAAGGCATGTCTAAAAACAGTGTACTAACTATTAAGAAGTCCAAGAAAAGATCATGCAAGAAAGCATCTCATAATTTTATGCATGAAAAAATGGCGTGGTCAAAGGATGCACAAAATTTATCCAGCGCGATTATCGGGCGTGTCAATTTGATTTTGCATCATCACTGAAGATCAACATTTCTATGTAAACAATACCCTATCACTTAATCAAAGGGGGATGACAAATAACTATTTTGACCGGGACACCGTGAGGGGGGAAAACAACTCCATCAACGTCTGGTGCACCTGCACTACCATTTGGTGGTCCATTTCTAAGCCAAGTAAGATTGAAACAAGTCTCGAGACAATAATCGCCAAAGGAACACGGGGAGCACAGCATTACCTTGTGAAAGAAAACCAGAAAGGAATCGAGCACTACGACGAATACAGGCAAGATACGCTGGAAACCAAAACAGAGCAAGATGCACGGCAGAAGGCAGCTCTGCTTCAAACTGGTGGCTGATAATATGTGAAGGTCAATGACAATTCATTAGTTAGGTGTTGTTCTAACCGAAAACCAAGAGACTGCAATTTGTGAGCGATGGATAGAAAATGAACTTACTTTCAGGATGAGGAAGCAGAGTGCAACTATGTCTTAAAATTGTTAGTAAAGAACGTGTCCAAACAAAAAGAAAATCATAAAATCGAGCCGTTTTAACTTCTAAGATATGCACTGAGAACACCTAACCTCCCCCAACCTGGCCTCCCTATATAATTGCATATAGAGATCAGACATGCATTCTAGTTTACCAATTATTGCACAAATAATAATAATAATTTAACGTTATCATAAATAAAAAAACACGCAATCAATCTAGTTGAAAATAAGATAAAAAGTAAAAGAATCAACTCCACAACCATCTGGATGTATCACATTTGACGATCAGACATGCATTCTAGATTACCAATTATTACCAGAAATGCATTTAATGCCTGCATCTGTAGTCAATAAACTAACCAAACAAAAGCTTTCGTACATGAGAACTAGCTTGAAAGTGAGCATCAAACAAATTTAACCTGTCATTATCTGGCGCCCCACTGGATTCACATATGAAAGCAATATTATTGCCTATTCCAGTCATTATCTGGCGCCCTACTGCTTTCACATATGAAAGCACATATGAAAGCAATATTATTGCCTATTCCAGTCATTATCTGGCGCCCTACTGCTTTCACATATGAAAGCAATATTATTGCATGTTCCAGGATGTGCATGTTAAAGAAAAAAAGAAGAAGAAGAAGAAGAAGAAGAAGTAATGTGAAGCCAAAGTAAGATCATGCAAGATGACATTTCATTAAAGTAACATTTCATTATCTTAAGCATTAAGCAATTGACCAGGTAATGCATGCAAAAAATGTGTCCGGCACAGTTATTAGCCAGTCAATTCAATTTGCATCATCAGTGAAGATAACACCTCTAAAAAAATGTGTCCGGCACAGTTATTAGCCAGTCAATTCAATTTGCATCATCAGTGAAGATAACACCTCTAGGTATACTATACCCATCATTTATATAAGATGTCAATTCAATTTGCATCATCAGTGAAGATAACACCTCTAGGTATACTATACCCATCATTTATATAAGATATATCAAAAAACTATTTTGTTTCAATAGAAAATTTTGTCAACATGACGACATTCAGGGCACATTCTACAATTTTGAAGCCCAAAAAGAACATAACCATATATAACTTAGAGGAAAACCTCCAGGCACATGATGCCCAGTAAGCTGGGCATTCCTCTTATGAAAGAAAACCACACAGGAAACAAGCATAAAGAACACAGGAAAGATGCATGAAAACCAAAATAGAGTAAGATCAAGATGCACGGCAGAAGGCAGCTGCTTAAACTGTTTGCTCTTAATTCTCTAGTTGCCATATATGCATTTGGCTGTAGCTTCAGGGTTTTGTTCAAGCAAGAAAATAATATGTAGCATATTGAACAAAAATGTGCCTAGTCACTTTGGAGATCTAGGTAGAAAGCCAGGATGTATATCTGGCTATGTTACACGGGTACGTGTGCGGAAACGGGATACTACAAATTTTTAAATTGGATACAAGGACCTGGCTCTATGTGTGTGTACGTGTGTGAAATTAATAATTTATATGAGAACAATTTTGGTTTTTCATTCACATGTTATAAAAACAAGTATTTCTATAGCATTTTCATGCTTCATTTATTAAGTAGATTATGAACTGGTTTTTAGCAAGTTACATGAATTGGACGTGAAGTGTAAGACATACATCCAAGAAGTGTACGACAAGTGTTTTAAACTAAAACATGCATTATATACTTCAGTATCTATCTAAATTAGTGCATATTCAAGGAGTGTTCAATGAGTGCCAGAGTTGGACATGTGCTGAACATGGGTAAGGGAGCCCATACGAGATGTTAGGGTAGCTTAGTATATGATTTGCCAGAGTTGGACACGTGCTGAACATGGTAAGGGAGCCTACAAGAGGTGTTAAGGTAACTTAGTGATACGGGTTTATCTTCTTCTTTGCTTCGGGAGCTTAGCGATCCTCATGAGAGCTTGAAGATAGGTAATTCTCATGATATCTTGAGAATAGAAGCGTGGTTGGAGTTATAGAGGACGGCAAAAGAAGTCAGAAGGAGCGAAAGGCAGAAGAACAGACAAACTGGCAGAACTCTGGTCGGTCGACCGCAACGACATGCGCGGTCGACCCCCAACTTGCACGGTGCAGGGTTTGAGACTGAAACTCTGTCCGGTCGACCGCGATGGTCACTGCGGTCGACCGCAACAGGTTCCTGGGATTTTCCTGGTTCGTTTTGGATTCTGTTTTGACGGGGATTCCTGACCTTTTGGGCTTGTTTATTTACAAGATTACCACCACGTTGTAAACCCTATAAATAGGGATTGTTTAGGGTTTCTAAAGGGGAGGTTAGAGGCCAGATGTAGATCTAAAGGGTTTTAGGTCTAAGGAAGATCCTAATCAACATGATTAGGGTTTAGAGAGATTACTTAGATTATAATCAGAGATTGTATTCTAATCAGATCTCAGAGAGAGGGATTAAGGTTTAGTGAGAATTGAGAATTTGTTCTCGATTCTAGTGAGATTATGAGAGAGGGATTGTAATCTTTTTATACTCATAATCTAGAGAAGATAATTTCCTTCGTCATATACTAAATTGTGTTTGTGTTTCTGTCATCATCTTCTCAACCCACCTTTGATAATTCCGCGATCAAAGGTGCTCGCACGGCAACTCGTATCAGGTTGGTATCAGAGCGATCAGATCCTGCGAAGGGGGCATTCTGTGTATGATCCTTACTCGATCGAATCGCAATACTAGTTAGGCGAGATCATTTTTCTTTGGAAGGAGTTCAGAGACTAAGGAAGAAGAAGATGACTGAAGACAACAAAGATGGATGGGCTCGAGAGTTTCCTCAACAGCAATTCTAACTTGAAAGGGCTGAAGACAACAAAGATGGAGGGGCTCGAGAGTTTCCTCAACAACAATTCTAACTTGAAAGGGAATTCAAGTTCTTAAAGAGGGGAGCCATGATACGGATGTATCTTCTTCTCTGATTCGGGAGCTTAGCGATCCTCATGAGAGCTTGAGGATAGGTGATTCTCATGATATCTTGAGAATAGAAGCGTGGTTGGAGTTATAGAGGACGGCAAAAGAAGTCAGAAGGAGCGAAAGGCAGAAGAACAGGCAAACTGGCAGAACTCTGGTCGGTCGACCGCAACGACATGCGCGGTCGACCCCCAACCTGCACGGTGCAGGGTTTGAGACTGGAACTCAGTCCAGTCGACCGCGATGGTCACTGCGGTCGACCGCGACAGGTTCATGGGCTTTTCCTGGTTCGTTTTGGATTCTGTTTTGACAGGGATTCCTGATCCTTTTGGACTTGTTTTTTTTACAAGATTGCCACCACATTGTAAATCCTATAAATAGGGATTGTTTAGGGTTTCTAAGGGGGGTTTAGAGGCCAGATGTAGATCTAAAGAGTTTTAGGTCTAAGGGAGATCCTAATCAACAGGATTAGGGTTTAGAGAGATTACTTAGATTGTAATCAGAGTTTTAGGTCTAAGGGAGATCCTAATCAACAGGATTAGGGTTTAGAGAGATTACTTAGATTGTAATCAGAGATTGTATTCTAATCAGATCCTAATCAACAGGATTAGGGTTTAGAGAGATTACTTAGATTGTAATCAGAGATTGTATTCTAATCAGATCTCAGAGAGAGGGATTAGGGTTTAGTGAGAATTGACAGTTTGTTCTCGATTCTAGTGAGATTGTGAGAGAGTGATTGTAATCTTTTCATACTCATAATCTAGAGATGGTAATTTCCTTCGCCATATACTGAATTGTGCTTATGTTTCTGTCATCCTCTTCTCAACCCACCTTTGATAATTCTGCGATCAAAGGTACTCGCACGGCAACTCGTATCACTTAGTATCTGAGATATGAACATGACAAGCTTACCTTTTCCAGTGGCAAGAACTCCTAAACCATTGGGCAAAAAGAACACTACTGAGAGTAATTAGATATAGTCTAATCATACAACAATTTTGAAACCAAATGTGTGTTTCTGAAGTAAGGAGCCATAATTCTGTAAGCTGATATTTATTTGGCTAGTGGTCGAAGGAAAGAGAAGTTTAATTGAAAGATGGAGCATGTGGATGCCATCCACTATCAAATATGCATAAAGCTCTGCAATTAACATGGAATGAAGTCGAAAAAAATACCCTGGAGACCCCACGCAGTAATGGCCAATTAATTTAAAAAATCTGACTATATGCATCTTATAGCCCAACTTTGAGCTGAAACATGTTATGAAATTATCTATAATCAAGAATATCATATTGGAGAACCAAAGACCGTCATCTTGGACGTAGATAATCAAAGTACTTCCTTGCAGCAAGAAAAGTAAATCGTTATGACAGGATTGATATCTCCTCTAAAATCAACGCAGCTACATGCGAGTTCTAATTGACCTCTAACTGACTGCCGTCGGAGCATAAAGAGGGTGACATAAACCCGTCCATTCAAGAGGATCAACTGAAAGTTCTGCAGAAATATGGTGAAATGCAGTTTACTGCTGAATGAGGTAACCTCAATCAAGATGAGTTCGCAAATGGGGTAAGGTTGACGACCATCCCACAGAAACTGAACTGAGATGGCCTTGGCCAAAACTGATTGGCATATTCTGTATGCTTTTTCACCAGTCAAGAAGTTCCTACAGAAATTTTATTAAGAAAATGAACATCATAATTCTGATATCCTATATCTCATAGCCCTATAATGCCCAGTATTTTTGTGATGTGGATCTAAGTAATTTGACTATGCTCGGGTGAAGATGCAGATAGGGTGAGGTTAAAAGATCTAAATAAAAGGTGCAAAAGAGGTGAAGTTAAAGAGACTCGGTAAGGTTGAAGAACATCTTACAAAACTGAATAGACTAATTTCAAAACAATTCAAAGATGTGGGGAACTAATCTCAAAATATAAAGATTTTGGGACTAATTTCAGATATTTAAGATATGGGGACTAATTCAAATATGAAATATTTAGGGGACTAGTTTCAAATATGAAAAAATTGGCGAACTATTTTCAAATATGAGTTATTTAGAGGACTAGTTTCAAATATGAGTTATCTAGATCTAATTTCAAACATGAAAGATATGGAGACTTCCAAAATAAAAGATTTAGGGGACTATTTTAAAAAATGAGAGATGTGGAGGACTAATATGAAAGGACCCATGTACAACTGTACAAGTATCCATGGCTTGTTTGGCAAAAGGTAGGGAGGCCATGGCCA